GTTAAATCACTAGGAAGTTACTATAAACGTATTAAAATCAATAGATTATCTAATAAAAGTAAAAGATGATGAATGTTTCAAAATGAGAACTCTTGATCATTTAATTGGTGACCATTTCTGAGAAAGCTGTGAAGTCAAAATAGAATAAAAAGATCTGAAGGATGAAAATGAAATTGATTTTCAACAGGAATCAATCAAAATAAATACTGAGGATTTAAATTATGTTTAGGAAAATTTTAAAATTTTAGACACTACTGAAAATAGTAAACTTCAAATTTTGTTTATTGAAAAACCTCCTTAACATGAAATGAAAGTTCTCCCTACGCATTTAAAGTATGTATTTCTAGGGAACTCATCAACATTACCTATTAAAATATCCTCAGACTTAACAGAAGGTCAGGAGGAAAAATTATTGGAAACATTAAGAAATTATAAGTAAACCTTTGGATGGACATTTGCAAATATTAAAGGTATCAAACCTTCAATCTGTATGCATAAAATTCTGATGGAAGATAATCATAAGCCTAGGGAAGATCCTCAAAGGAGATTGAACTCCATCATGAAAGAAGTTGTTAAAAAGTAAATTTTTAAGTGGTTGGATGCTAGAATTATTTATTATGTTTTGGCAGTGCTTAGATTAGTCCTATCCACTATGTTTCTAAGAAAGGAGTGACTATAACAGTTAATGAAAGAATGAATTAATTTGAACAAGATATGTCACTAAGTGGCGAATTTGTATTGATTATAGAAAACTAAATCTCGTCACTATGAAAGATCATTTTCCTTTACCTTTTCCAAATCAAATTCTAGATAAACTAGCTGGGCACCGATATTTTGCTTTTCGGATGAATATTCTAGATACTACCAAATATAGAACTTTTGCTTTCAGAAGGATGCATTTTGGTTTATGGAATGCACCTGCAATTATTCAAAGTTGCTTGAAGTCAATTTTCTGCAATCTAATTGAGAGAGGAATAAAATTTTTCATAAATGACTTTTCAATTTTTTGAACCTCTTTTGATTCATGCTTAGACCATTTAATGAGAGTTCTAAAATGTTTTGAAGAAACAAACTTAGTTCTTAATTGGAAAAAAAATATAAATTTATTTAAAGTTTCAAAATCAAAACCTTCAACAGGTTTGTCTTTTCTTTATGTATTTAATGTTTTCTTTCACCCTTTATTTTTTTAGTTCTTCATGCTAAATCTCTTAAAAATTTAAGTTGGGGGGTGGAAGAAAAATTGGGGGGGAAACTCCTTTTTAAAGAAAGAAACTTAATTTTATTTGTCCTCACTTAGCTATATTTTTTAAAATTTTAAATTTAACATGACCTTTGGTATTAGGGGTTAACTTTAGAGGAAGATCAAAACCAAAGCACAAAAACAAGAGCAAGTCAAAGCCTGGTCAGCAGACAACTTGCTGGAATTGTGGTATAGCTGACCACATAAAAAGGTACTGTAAAAATCAAAATAAGACAGAGGATGACATTACAAATGTTGTAACTGAAGAAGTACAGGATGCACTAATGCTGATAATTCACATTTATGTTGATGACTAGCTACTAGATTCATGGGCTTCTTTTCATAAATCTTCTCACCAAGAGTTAATACAAAACTATGTTGTTGGTGACTTTGGGAAGGTGTATCTGGTTGATGAAAAGGCTCTGAACATGGCGCAGGTTGCAAAAGTTGATATTATACTCCCTAACAAGAGCAACTGAATTGTACATAAGGTCAGACACATTCCTGAGTTGAAGAAAAACTTCATTTATATTGGGTAGCTTGATGAGGGTGGTGATTCAGTAGTTCTCAGATAGCACCTAAAAGTTTACTAAAGGAACATTGGTACTGGCTCAGGGTAAGAAGGATAGTACACTGTATATGACTGCTGGTTTTCTTGGAGGCTCTCGTTACTGTGCCACAATCATCGATGACCATAGTAGAAAGGTTTGGTTTGTTGATCTACCACAGTGCAGGGCAGTGATTGAAGTGATGAGGAGAGTGGGTCTGGGGCACCCATTCATATTCTTCCACAGAGCTTCAGAGTTGTCCACCCCTACAACTATAATTCACAGGTCAGTCAGGAATAAACGTTCCTCTCAGCGTTACTCACCAACCTTGAACTACATTCTGTTGACAGATGGTGGAGAACCACAGAGTTGTGAATAAACTATGAAAGATGAAAATTCAATCAAGTGAGAGTTAGCCATGAAGGAGTAGATGGATTCCCTGTCAGGGAATCAGACTGGGAGATGACAGAGCTTCCACTAGGGAAGAAGGCATTGCAAAATAAGTAGGTGTACCCAGTGAAGACTGAGCATGATGACAGTAAGAGGTACAAGGCTAGAATAGGCTTTCAGCAAAGACATGATATTGCCCATGCAGTGAGAGTTGTAAGCAAAGACATGAGTAACCCAGGAAAGAGCTTGGAATTACAAGGCTATGTTGATGTTGATATGTCGACTAAGGGTGTTACTCTTGAGAAACTAAAGTTGTGCACATCTTCAATTGGTCTTCTATCATGAAGACAAGAGCTTTGAGTTGCATAGGTGGAGGATATCGCATTTGAGGAAAAGGACAATGCAGTCGGTGGATGAGACAGTTGGTGTCCCAATCTCTACTTGTAAGATTTGTTGAGTATTGGTGGAGCCCAGTTCACTTCTAAAATTGGAAAATTCCTTTGTATAACATTTAATTATTAATTGATAATCAAAACTAATTGTCTTAAATCTCTTTCCTTTGAAAGCTTCACATGGCTTTCTTTTTTTAAGAATCCTGCTCCTCTAATTGTTAAAAAAGCTTAAGGGTCCCGCCACCATTAATGTTTGAAGAAGAAATTTTGTATTAGCGCTTCCTATATCCAAAGGTAAAAAGCCTTCTTCTAATCACAATATTAAATAAACAAAGAGCTTCCCTTCTTGGTTGCTTCGATGTTGGCTTACAGGTCTTCTTTGGCTCAGCTTACGAAAAGCAAAAAGGAATCCCAAGTTTTTCTTCTTCCTTGGTGCGTGCGGTGGCTACAACAAAATCTGCTTCTTCCTTTCGGTTCCCCTTTTTCGGTGGCTCACGGGTAGTGAGGAGAGAGAGAGGAAGAGAGAGAGAGAGAGGAGGTAGAGAGAGAAAGTTTCTTGCAATGTCGAGGAGATCGATGGTATAATTCCTCAAGCTAATAAAATCCTCTGCAAATCTGTGGACATAGGTAAATTGCCGAGCCACATAAATCTGTGTGTTCCGTTGTGTTTTCTATTTTGCAAATTTCTCGTTCCAATTTTCGCTTTACTGTCATCGTTTTTCACAACACTGACTAATCATTTAAGTGAAGTTATCAATGAGAGAACTAGCATGTACTACTGTATTCAGAGAATGAAGCCTATAGATGTTGGTTCTTTGATCTACAAAGCTATTTTTATTTTCGCCAGACCCAACACTTCAACAGGTTTGGGATATCATTATCTTATTTTTATTATTTGTAAACAGTCTAGAGTTAAATATGATAGTTGGGAGGAATTGCTCCAACCGTTAAAGCCTATTGGTAAGGCTAATGTAGATCTTTATGGGAGACCTCTAGGTAGAGCTTCTGATGCACCATCTACTTTAGCCTCGAGACCTTCTAGATATAGTGTTTTTACTCATATTCCTTATACTTTGGATACTGTATTGGAGCACTTACAAATACATCAGAGAGAAATACTTTCAATAAATAGTCAAATGCAAGAGAATGAGGACATTTGGGGCATTATTTGAAAAGGAAGAGTGATTATGAAGCTAGCTTTAATACCTCCCTTGTAAGTTTCCTTAAGGGCGAACAAACTATAGAGTTTTTTACATATCCTCAGTATCAAACAAAATAACCTATATTTATTTCTGAGATAATTAAATTCCTTTTTAAATATAAAGTTATAATTTATGTATCAGGAGAAATAATGAGCTATAAATTTTTTTTATCTGTTAAGTAAGTTTGAGTGAACATTTCAGTAGGTCTTGATGTAATACTAATGACAATATTTTAGGAGAATCATATGACTTTACTATCATCATATGTATTTAAATAACACAAATATTTTCTTATTGTTGATTTGCATGATTCAATGTTTTTAATATTTGTTATTTCAATTCATCAATAATAATAAAAATAGAAGACTTTATTTTGAATACTATGTTATTTTTTTCGTTCTCACTCAAACTATTTCTAATTACATGGCTCATGTCTATTTCTAAACTGATAATTTAGAGTCTGTTTGGGACAGCTGTAGCTTATTGAATAATATGTTGATAAACTGATAAAAGCTTATTGAATAATATGTTGATAAACTGATTAAAAATAATCTGCTAATAAGCTATGTGCGGTGGCTATTACAAATTTTTATTTTTTTTTGGAAAATTCAAACTGTTGCCAATAAGCTGCCACCGCACCTAGATAAAGGCGGTGTGAAAATGCTGTTTTTGCGTTTTGAAAATGCATAAGCTGTCAAAACACAATTTGCCCAAACAAGTTAGGTGCGTTTTCAAAACGCCACTACACCAAATAAGCCGTCCCAAAAGGGCCCATAGAATTCAAGAAATAACAATACTTTATTTTTACATTTTTACCAGAAATTAAAAAAAAATGCTTTGCTATCATATAAAACCTCCAAAAAAAATAGTGACAAAATTTGTTAAAAATTGATTTTAATTAATTTGACGTGCATATATGTACACATAAAACTAATAAATTATATTAAATTAGAAAAAAACGTTGTTTCATAACTGCTCTTTTTTTGATCACATGTCATTGTAAAATTGGCTAAAAAATTGGCCGCACTCAAATGAGCTAAAATAAGTTAAATTCATGCAAGTAAAATAATAAGGACCTGATAATAAAAAAATATTCTAAAACATATGGCTTTTGTTGACATAAATTAAATCAGACTCACAAAAGGTATAATTAAGGAAAAGCACGAATCTTATAGTCCACCTGTCGATCAAGAATACATTTCTTCATTTAAAGGTAGCTTTGGTGGAATTCATGTCATTCTCTCTCCGTCAGCTCTCATCTCCAATTCGATGATGTTGTCGGGTCGCTCCCACTACTGCTGCTCTAATTTGTGCGCTTTGCCGGCTCTTCTGTTCCCCTAATTTCCACGGCTGGAATTCTCTCTCGAAGCGAGGTAAGCTTGTTATTGATCTCGTTCTTCTTCCATCCTTTACCCTGATCGCTTTTTACTTACCTAGTCCAGGCGAATCCTTGCCGCGATTTGGCGGAATTAGAGCTAGGGTTTACAGTGTTTGAGTCTTGAGTTCTTTGTGTTTTCTCTGATCTGCTTGATTTTGACTTGAAAAGATGGTGCTAGTTATTTTTCTTTACTTAGGGTTTTTCTCGGTTAGCATTTTGTTTTGAGTTTTTGGGAAACTGAAGTTGTGCAGTGATACGAACATAAAGCTCTCCAGGCTTTGAAGTTCTCCCTGCGTTCTTTGTTTTAAATTGATTTAATGTGGCGCGGAATACTTAAAAGAGGTCAAAGATAGAGTAGGTGCTTGAACCTAGATCTGGACTTTGTGGGTTATGATTACTATTCTAAGTATTTTTTTTATTGCATTAGAAACATTGCTAATTTTGATAGCAGGAAATTATTTGATCAGAGAAAACGGAGGTGGTTTGGACTGCATTCCCTGTATTTATAGGCTTGATTTTTATGCGGGATCTCATTGTCAGGGAGTTTAAGCAATTTGAGCTGGTTCTTGAGTTCGTTCAAACTTATTGATGAGTTCAAGAATCAAGATTATCGAGCCTTAAGCTCAAGCTCGAGCTCAAATTATTATTTGTATTTTAAGTGAGCTTAACAGGGCTTGACTTGTTGGCACACGAGCCATCTTGTGTCCCATTTCTTCTCTGCCTAGGGTATTTAAATCAAGTTACGCAAATTTCCATTGTGACTTACCTGCGAGTACTGATGAACTAGTTCCATTGATGCCTTTTTTGGCATGCAATGAACTCTTGTCGTGGCTTGTTTAATGTGCAGCGAGTCCCATTGACGCCTCTCCATTGAGCATTGAGTTCCCATCATACTAAAATGCTTGTTCCGCGATGCCTTCTTCACTAAGCTCTCTTCTCCATTTGCAACTCTAACTGTGACTTGTGCTGATGTCTCCTTCGGCAAGCGTCTGTCACAATGTATCTACTTGTAGTCCCATTTATGAAATCTCCAACCTATTAAAAAAATGGCTTTCTCACATTCCGACCTTTGAGCTGATGAGTCGAGCTCAAGCTTGTTGTTGTTTCGATGGATTAAAGCTCAAGCTCATATTATGAGCTTGAGTGCCATTGGGCAAGAAGCCAAATTTGAGTTTATTGTGACTTTGACTTCTATTGACTTGTCTATGCCGCCGCTCTTTGGTAAGTGTAGCTTACAATATTGGATTTTTTGGTATTCTTAGAAATTGGCAATTAGTAGTTTGATTCTTATAATTGGGAGTTTTTGTATATGAGAAGAATAATTGCATATCCTTTATATGAATTTAAAATTGGATTAGGATGACTTAGCTTTATATAATTCCTATGAAGCACTTCATGAATATTACATCCAGAAAGTTTTGGATATTCTCATAACTACATGATAGTTTCTTAAAAGCAGCAATATTTGCTAGTTTTGACAATTATATTTTGGAAGTGAAATTTAGTTAACCTTTATTCATTGAAGTTCATATTTTGGACAATGTTATAAAAAGCGTTAGGAGGTTTTTAGGCAATGTGGTTGTCTAATGCCCTAGGTGTAAGGCAGCTCTAAAAAAATAATTTTATCACTTGTAAAGTCATTTTAAGTATAAAAAACATTTGTTTAAGAGTGTGGAGTGATAATGATTACATTAAATTAAGAGAAAGAAAAATTAAATTTTGAACTTATATTCTATTTCAATTTTTAATATTTGATTAATGTATTATGCTAAATATGTGCAAACTACCATAGTATACAAGATCAAAGGATAATCTAATCATCTCTACTATTTATTCTATCCTTTCCATCAATCATGCTTTATTTGTTTCCCTCCCATCTCCTCCTGTTATCTTTTCACGCCCTTCATCATATTTAAGATGTACTTCTGTAGAACTTGAAACTCTTGTTTCCACAGCTGTCCAAATTTTTTTTTTTTCAAATGCACTCCTTATTTTTAGCACCCTTGATGTTTATTTTGCTCTACGTCATGTCAACTATCACCATAAAAAAGCTAACTAAAATTTTATGATTGAAGTATCAACACTCATCACTCAACAAATGCTAGGGATGTAATCATGTGGAGTGGAGCCGAGTCGATTTAAGCATAACATGGATTAGATTTTACTTGGTCATTTTGTAAGTTGTTCAAAATTGACACTAGCTCGAGTCTCACTTTCACACTTATGCACATACTTGGCTTGTTTAAGTTTATCTATTATTGAATTTGACCTGTACTTGGGTTGACTAATTTATCAGACAATTACTTAAAATTAATACATAAGCTCATAAAAAATATTATATAAACTCTTGTGTGGTTATCATATTAATAAACAATGGTTTAAGTTTAAATGAATAACGAATTTGATAAATCTGGAATTAGTATCTTAATATTTGACACCAATTAAATAAACATAACTAATATAAAATAAAAGTTGGACTAAAAGGATCTGAGAATTGAAAATGCGGTCTCAATGAGAGTATCAACATTCAAATATTTGGATTGAACAGAAAACACAATGGTTGCTAACTATGAGCGGATGGCGTGTTAAAGTTGTGCAAATATTAGATGATGTATTTGCTCTAGGTAGGTTTAAATGAAGATGAGCTCACTTCTGATTCTCGTGCAAGTGCGTTTTGATTCCTACGTATTCAATTGAAGAAGATTTTCTTATGTGTAAGATTGAGCATCACATACTATGCTCACCAACTTATTAACTGCAAGCTGGCTGGGAAGGAGGTGCGTTCCCCTTTGAAGACACATTCATGCGGGCACCCTTCTTGCACTCTGGGCAATTGGAGTGTGGAGATTGAAAGTGATTAAAGTGGATATTGATCTGTAAAAAAATAAAAATTTAACATACATAAAGTTACCTATTATGATAAATAAATTAATTAATTTATATTAGATAAGGAAGTATTTAAAAAAACAATTTTATAATATACCAGCCACCATAGAGCCTAATACCATGCCTTTAACAAGTTTTTTAAGCTGTTTCATTTAAATCTTTGAAATTTAAGGAGGAAAATTTTACTTTTTATGCCTCATGATAGCAAAAAATAGGGAAGTATACTTTTTGTTTGATTTCTTGATTAAATATGCTGGAAAGCTCATTTCAAACCTTGTTCACATTACCAGCTGCAACATCTTAAAGCTTCATTCAAATCTTGTTTGAACTATTTTCAAGTTTTGTATTAAGGCTCTACTGATATTCAAATGTTGTTTGAAGAATGTTTTATTAAGATTCAATTATTGTTTCAACACGGTTTGAATAATTTTTAAAGAGATTTGAACAATATTTGATGAATGTTCAAATAAGATTTAAGGTTGTTTCAAATAAGACTCAAGCATGGCTCACACAAGATTCAAACATGGCTCGGACTTTGGTCGAATTTAGTTGGAATAAGATTCAAAGAAATTTCAAGTAATGTTCAATCAAAGTCCGAACAAAGTGCAAACATTATTCGCTCACTGTTTGAGCATAGTTCTAACATGATTTGAATGTGGTTTGATTCAAATTTATATTTTTACTTTCTCTTTGGAACTGTATTCTTTTGTTATGTATGCATTTTTTAAAACTATTTATTGTTGAGTGGCATAATACTATGTGGGTATAGATCTGAGGGTGTGATGGAGAAGATTGTTATGCAATTTGAGGCTTTGGTTAGGTTTTAAGGACCAAGATCGGCAGTTCTTTGGATTTTTTGATTCATCAATTATTATTGAAGATGGTTGGTGATGGTGTGAATGAGAGCTGATCCATTGTGTTTACATTGGATGCAAGGACACTACATTTATCATTTTTGAATTTTTGCTGATTATTGGGCTAGTTTTAGAGAATACCCGTATTAGGATAAATTTAATAGGATGAGCAAAAGGAGTAGACTGGTAGAAAAGTACTTGGATGCTAGCAAAAACATTAAAAATTTATACCTAAAAGGGGCATTTTTGAATGATGTCTGAAAGCCTAGGTGTTTTTTGTAGATAGCATTCTTAACCAAGACAATCACAATGCAATTTTTATTGATATACTTTGGATTGGTTGAAGATGAGGAAGCTTTTTTTAGGTACCCATGGGTTAGGATGTTGTGAGAGAGGTTATTGAGAGGGCTGAAGAGTATAGTATGGCTATTGCCCTAGCCCAATACATAGGGAGCCAATCTTTTACCATTTTATGTATAGAACTGTAGGCCGCGATGGTAGGGGGTGTCACTTTTTATTATTCTACATAAGATTGATGCACGATTAGTGGGGTTGAAAGACAAAAGAACAAGAATTACCTTATTAGGGGTTTTACAGATCTATAAAGGAGCAGGCAACGTAGATTCATGCACGATTAATCTCTTTTCTCAATTGATGAGAATTAGTTATCCTTTTTTACGTTGTTGGGTGTAAAGATTGGTTAACAAATCTTAAGAAGAAGGATATGTGAGTGCTTTGTATAGTGTGATTCCGGTAGTTGAATACTCTCAATGCTTGGTATAGTGTGATTCTGGTAGTTGAATACTCTCAGTGCATTGTTAGATAGCCATTAGAAATTTTTTTTTTACTATATTGACATTTTATTCTAGTAGTTGAATTGTCTTTACACCAGCTCCAATATCTATTTCTAAAGCATATTGTTTCTTTATATTTTATAATAAGAGAGTGAATCTTGTGCTATACAGACCTATGGATTTGACATTATGTTGGATGATTTGTTTGATTGATATTGTATGTCAGGAATCTCCACCTATAATAAGTCTAAGAGAAAGGAATCCCTTAAAAGTAACCATCATGTACATCTTTGGAAATAAGAGAGTTTTTGAAATCATGGTGAGACCAGTTTGGATCAGGGTGCGATTTATTTCGGGACAGCTATCGATGTCTCTTTTCTTTCTACGGGCTGTATGCTAGGGTTCCAAGTTGTGTTCCAACTGTTTCTTGATCTTCAAGTGGTTTTCACCCTTCCTACACC